GCTAAATTATTAGCTTCAACATTCTTACCTTTTTTCATGCCAATTGTCATGGCACTCTTAACAGCTTTAAATCTTATTAAATAAAATCTAAACTTTATTTATATGATTTTTTAATTTTTTAATATAATTTCTATAATAGGAAATAGTGTTTTCATAATCTTCAAAGCAAGCAATCATCATCTCTGAACATTTATATTCATCAATAATGAATTCTAAATCATATGTATTCTCTTCTGTTTTTTTAATAACGTTTATATTTGCTAACCTTGCAGCAAAATTGATTGTAGAAACAGAATCAGAAATGTGATGTTTAAGAGGATTAATCATACACAAAGCAATAATGTTGGCACCTGACTCAAAAGACTCTTGAAGTATTCTAGTTAACTTAGAATCTCTAAATTTAGGTTTTTCTTTTTTTACATAAGAATTGACAACATTACCCAGTGCTAATAAACTTGTATTGATGTAACGTCCCTCACACTTTCTTTCTGCTTCTGTGGTAGCCTTTTCAGATCCTGCCAAATCTATAAAATTGATTAAATTAGAGTCATTTTTAATTTGAACAACTAAATGGGATCTTGATGAATTTAAATTAAATTCAGTTGAAGATGTTCTTCTATTTATTAAAGCATTTTTATAAAATTCTCGAGTTTCACTTATAGATTTGCATTTTCTTGTTTCAATATTCTTTAAATAAGCATATCCATCTGATTTAGTAAACATTTTGATTTCTTTTCTCACGTTTGAAACATCATAAACTCTTTCATTATAAATTTCAAATATAGAAATTGATAAGGAGTCAAAAGAATCGAACAGTTTTTCAATTGTTGTTTCTACTATACCAACCTGTTTTGAATCAGCAATATCTTTTCCTGATAAAGTAAAAGTTTTACCACTGCCAGTTTGACCGTATGCAAATACAGTGGTATCTTTTTTATTCAAAAAGTTATCAACAATCTTTTCTATCAAATCAGAATGTATTGTTCTGTTAAATGAGTCAAATAATTTTGGTAAGTTTTTTACTGTGATACCCTGACTAACATCTAAGAATTTTGTTTCATGTTCAGTTTCATAACTTAGTTGATTGTTTTGATATTTCCATATTGAGTTTTCATCATATTTAAGATTTATATAAACTTTAATCTTCTCCTCCATAAATTAATATTTAATTTCCTTTTTTATAGAATAATTGTTTCAAGTGTTATAAAAATTTATTCAATAAAAATCTAGAAAAGTGATAAATTAAATTTTAAGAAATAATTTTTAGTAAAAAATTATATGGCTGAAGATAATAAAATTTACATAAAACTATTAGGAGCAGGCACAGAAGTAGGAAGATCATGTATCCACTTAAAATACAGAACGAAGGAATTATTGTTAGATTGTGGAGTCCATCCAGCTTACAATGGAATATCTTCATTGCCATTTCTCGATTTAATTGATCTTGAAAAGATTGATGCTTGTTTAATAACACACTTTCATCTTGATCATGCTGCTGCATTACCATTTTTAACTGAAAAGACTAATTTTAAAGGAAAGGTATACATGACTCATCCAACAAAAACTATCTTTAAATGGCTATTAAATGATTTTATTAGAGTTATAAACTCATCATCAGCAGAAGACTTTTATTCAGAAACAGATTTGACTAATTGTTACAACAAAATTATAGCAATTGACTATCATCAGCAAGTGCACATCAATGGTATTAAATTTACGGCATTGAATGCAGGGCATGTATTAGGAGCAGCAATGTTTTTACTTGAAATAGAAGAGACTAAGTTACTATACACAGGTGATTTTTCAAGAGAAGATGATAGACATTTAAAGGCAGCAGAATCTCCAAACTGTAAATTAGATATTTTAATTACAGAGTCTACTTATGGAACCCAGTGTCATTTACCACGTGCGGAAAGAGAAGCAAGGTTTCTGAAAGTAGTTACTGACGTTGTGTTAAGAGGTGGTAAATGTCTTTTACCGGTATTTGCGTTAGGTCGAGCCCAGGAATTACTATTAATTTTAGAAGAACATTGGATTGAAAATAAGAAGTTAAAGAAAATACCTATATATTATGCATCAGCATTAGCTAACAGATGTATGTCTGTTTATCAAACTTATATAAATATGATGAATGGAAGATTACAAAAAATTTCCTTAACAAGAAATCCATTTGAATTTAAATACATTCAATTTATTAAAGATCAAAATAGATTTAAAGATGTTGGACCATGTGTTATTATGGCAAGTCCTGGAATGTTACAAAGTGGATTTTCACGTGATCTTTTTGAAAGCTGGTGTACAAATCCTAAGAACGGGGTAGTTATTTCTGGTTATTCAGTTGAAGGTACATTAGCTAAAGAAATACTAAAAGAGCCTAACGAGATACAGTCATTAAAAGGACATTTATTAAAGTTAAACATGACAGTTGAATATATCTCATTTTCAGCTCATGTTGATTATACTCAAAACTCAGAATTTATAGATGAGTGTGAACCTAAACACTTGTTTTTAGTTCATGGTGAAGCCACTGAAATGTTTCGTTTAAAAGCAACTATAAGCACTAGAAATGAAAAACTTGGAAAAGAGATGGAAGTGTACGCATTGAAAAACGGAGATGAAGTTTCTATCCCAATTAAGAAAATTAATAAAGGTATAATTTTAACTAAAAAAAGAAAATTTACAGCATTAATAATGCAAGGTGATGACATTAATAGAATATACGATGGAGATGATATAGAAAATAAGAGAGTTGATTGTGGATTAGATGTGATTAAGTTAGTTCAAAAACAAACTATTCCATATAACATGACATGGAATCTAATCATGGATGTATTAATAACAGAATTTGGTGCAAATATAAACGATGAAGAGGAACTTAAGCTTGGTGGTATATCTATCTCTCACAATAAAGATAATGTAATACTCAGATGGGAAGCTAATTATTGTGATGATGTATTAGCATTAGCAATTAAAAAGTTAGTAGATGAATTTGGTTCGGGTATAAAAACACTCATGTGGACTCATGTTAAAGGATTGAAAGAGAAAGTAGGTTTTTTAAAAAATTATTTTGATGATGTAGAAATAAAAGAAACAAAGATTATTGTTAATAAATCAATTATAATTAAAAATAATAAAATTTATGGAGAAGATGGTGATCTTAAAGAAAGAGTAATTAGAGTTTATAATAGCATTAATAAGGTAAATCATAATCATTAAATTTATTTGTAATTTAATTTCTTTAAACCCTTAAAATAGACATGACTTTTCAATTAGAGGTGTTTAAACCAAGTCAAATAATAAAAATGTTAAACAAGTGTACGGATAAATTTCCAGTAGTAACTAGAGATTGTGTAAAGGTAATAATATTACTTATATATTCTTTACAGCATCATAAGTTAGATGAAGGACAAAGAGAGATGATTTTAGTAACACTAACTAAGATGTTTAATAATACAGAATACTATCTTAAAAATTGTATCATGGTAGCTTTATTAGAAATATCAGATAACAACAATGAGGCAGGTATAATTTGTATTAATTGTTTGATTAAGGATATTGATTCCAAAGGATTTAGTAAGAGACCACATTTAAAGAATCTTGGATTGAGATGTTTATATAGTAATTTACCACAAAAAATGTTTTATGACTTTGAAAAGTATATTAAACAAGCAACATTAGCACCAACAGGGTATGACAATGCTGTAATATTAGCATCTGAGTATCTTAAAAACTATGATGTAGTTAAGAAAGTTAATTATGATATTTCAGATTATCATCAAAGTCTTATTAATAGTCTTCCTATTAACAAGTACAGTGGGTTGTTAGAGTTAAAGAAGATTGCAAAATATGAATCAAATTTGGAACGACTCTCGAATTATTTAGAATTAGATACTGATGACCAGTTATTTTTAGAGGCTTGTAAAGTATTAACAATGGTTAGACCAGAAAAGGTATCTCGTTTTGTAGATGTAGCAGTTAGATCACTTAAAGTATTTTTAAGATCATCAGAGATTAAACAGTTTGCAGCCATTAGAATTCTAAGTAAGCTTTCATTTACATTTCCTTTAAAAGTTTCTAGAGCTAACAGAGAGATAGAAGACCTTATCCACTCATCAAATCGTTCATTAGGTGTGTTGTCAATAATCACATTGATCAGAACAGGAAACCAAGAATCAGTTAAAAAACTGTCTTATAAACTTGAGCCTTATATGGAATCAATGCCAATGGAATATAGTATATTAGCTTTGGATACAATGGAAAAATTAGCAAAGACAGAATTTAAAGATTTTTTAAGATTTCTTAAGAAAATGATGGTAGATACAAAAAATTCTATGGTCTTTAAAAAGTATATTTTAAGTAAATTTAAGAGTTTAATGAAAAAGATTGATCAGAAACAGAAGATTAGTATCATTAATTATTTATGTAGTTATATTGAAGATCCTGATTACTATCAATTAACTATGGATATATTAGGAATAATTGGAAGTAGTTTAGAGAATAAGAAAGAATTAATTCACGTATACAATAGACTTATCCTTGATAACGATCATGTTAAAAACTGTGCTATACAGACTTTATACGATTTAGACATTAAGTTTAATACATTAGAAACAGTTGATAATTTTAGATTTTCTAATAATTCTTTTGTTAGTTTCTTAAAAAGGAATAAAAATTTAAAGAGGGGTGAATTTGATATGAATGAGTTAGGAGAGTATAAAGAAGATGTGATGAATTACTTAAACAAAGAAGAGGAAAGTGATGAAGAAGATGATTATGTTCCGCTCAAGATTTGTAGAGAAATTGATTTAACAGATAAGAAATCAGATTTTATAATAACATTAATTAAAAAGATATTCCCAGACAAGTGTGTACTTGAATTCACAGTTCAATCTAACTTTGACAAAGTTGTATTACAGGGAGGAAGAATAACACTTGAAGGAAATAAAGATAAATATTCAGTTGATGTTGATAGTGATGGTGTATATGAGATTGAAGTTCCGTTTGGAACAAAAGGTTTGTACAATGGCGTCTTTGAATATTTTATTGGCTTGAAAGATGATACAGAAGACGTAGAAAATGATTTAATTAATCTTGAACCATTTACGTTAACAGTCTTAGATTTTACTAAACCTGAAGAAAATCTTGAAAAAATACAGAATTCAATTAAAATTAAAAAGCAACTCAAGTGTAATTATGATGAAGTTATTTCACAGGTAGTGAAAGTATCCAATCTTTACTTAGAAGCAGATTCTAATAACTTTTCATTATCTGGTCAGTATAATCAATTACCTATTTTAATAGAAGGAAAGGTTTATCAGAAAGGTAGGGTGAGTGATATGAATATGGAAATATTCTGTGATGATAAAAATATTCTAAAGGAAATAGTTGAAATATTTGAATAAAATTGTTGAATCTCGTTTATTTAATATTCATCATTGAACAATTTCCATAAACGACCTTATCTTCTAATATTGTTCCATCCGGAATATCAATTTTACTGCCCTCGGGTGCTATTATAACAACCGTTCCTTTAAGCACTATTTTACGACCGAATGAAATTGTACCTGAAAGTACCAAGAAGTCCAAATCAATTATATCAGGAATATCTAAAAATGTTTTTTTATACTTTTCAAAGTTATTAAAATTTCTTCCTATGAATTTGACAGTTGGATTACCACTAATCAATCTTTTTTCATTCCTTACAAGTGTACCTTTATCAGTTTTATAAAGATTAGATTCAACTAGAAATAAGTCTGAGCATGACTTAACCGGGGAAAATCTTTCTCTTGATACCTTTAGACCAATTGGATTCTTAAAATATTGTATTGCTGATCCTACTGCAGTCTCCAATTGAATTACAGTTTGACCATCAACTACCTTTCTGTTCTGTATTATATCTAATTTTAATTTAGTAACAACCTCCTTTAATGACTTTAAGTTGATCCAAAGAGAATTTGTATTGAACACCTTAAATTTTTTAATAAACTCCTTCACATGATCCTGTGGCACCATAGCAACTTCAATTAATCTCAAAACATCATTGTATTTAACTAAAGTACCTCCTTTAATATCCGCTGTTGTTTTATCAGTAACTTCCATTATAAAATCTGCTTTTCCCTTATCAAGTATTCTAAGAATATTTAAATCAATTGTTGAACTTAAATTATCAATGTTACTAATAAATAAGTATTCTTTCCCTTCGTTAATTAACTCATCAAGTAGTTTTGTTTGATAAAGAACTTCGTATAAATTTCCATGACCAGGGGGGTAAAATGACTTATCACCTGTAATTGGCAATTTTGTATTTACTGATATTTTTGGATATTTAAATTGATTAAATGTTTTAATTGTAATATTTTTAGAACCTTTAATCATTTTTTCGGTTTCCTTCTGAGTATTAAAACTGTTCATTAAAATCAAAGGTACTGATGATTCGTACTTGCAGTTAAAATGTTTTATTTGTTTAATCACTAAATCAATGAAATTATTTCCATCTCTGACTTCTATTTTACTTTTTGGTCCTGTTAATCCCATGGTTGTTCCAAGACCACCATTAAGCTTTATAACAGCCAGCTTGTTTAACATTTCAGTTTTCGTTTCTTTTGAAATTTTATGTTCGTGATAGTCTATTATTAGGTCATCGGCGTTCGTAATTTTATCCCAATCAATTTTTTGGTCTTTTGTTTGAAGGTACCTTTCAAACAGTTTTTTAAACGATTCTAATTCTTTTGAACCTTCTTTATACATATGAGACAAATAATCTAATTCTTCATTCATTGCTATAATTTTCGATTCGACATACTGTTGATCTTCTGTATGTTCGTCCATTTTAAGGGGTGTGTAAATTACAATCAATTTAAACTTAAAAGGAGAAAAAGAAATAACAATCTTTTGATAGGTTGTTAAAACATTTTTTTGTTTCATCTTTAATTTTTTTATTTAAAATTGAAACGTTTAAAAATACCAAAATGGGAATATTTAATAATTTATCAGCTGTTACCATATTTCTCCTTTCATCAGCCATTACAACACTAGGCAATAAATTTTTAGTAAAAAACTTAAATTTCCACAGACATCAATTACTAATCATACTACAAAACATTATCATAGTTTCAATATTAGTTTGTTATAATTTCTTAGTAAAAAATATTATTAATTTTAAGAGGTTCAAAAAGTGGTGTATAATAACAGTGTTCTTTTCAGTAATGATTGTATCTAACATGAAAGCATTGTCTTGCTTTGATGTTTCAATTTATACCCTTTATAAGAACATTTCTATAGTTTTTGTTGCTATTACCGAATATGCTTTTTTTGATAGAAAACTTAGTCCAATAGGATACCTTTCTTTTATTTTAATAGTTGGAAGTTCTTGGACTGGTAAACCTTTAAAGAAATCTGAATTAGTGGGGTATCTTTGGATGATTATTAACATTTTTAGCACCACTGCCTTTGTTTTACTTTTAAAGCATATAATAGATAATGAATCTAGTAGATTAGAATGTGTTTTCTTTACTAATTGTTTAAGTATTCCTTTTCTATTAATATTATCTTATTTTATTGATGATTATAACAAACCTTTAAATTTAACTCCTTTTGTTTATTTTTTGATTTTATTTACATCTTTGACTGCTTTAATAACCGCATTTTCAACTGCATGGGTACTTAAATTATTGACTTCAACAATGTTTTCAATTGCTGGAGCTATAAATAAAGTTATAGTTACAGCTGCCGGAATAGTAATATTTAAAGAAGATTTAGAATTTATAAAATTGATAAGTTGTTGTGTTGCTACACTAAGTGCATTGCTTTACTATTATGATGCTGTAAAATATAAAAGACAAAGTTAATAAATAACCAATTCATAATCTATTTATTAATTACTGTTTTTCAATATCCGAAATATTTTCTAAAAGCTGATTAATTCTATTTATCATTTCCCCCATTTTATTCTCTATTTCATTAGCTCTCCTAGCTATTTCTTCTGTTAAATTTTCTACTTTCTCTTGATTATCTTTTAATGTTGATAGTGAAACCATATTTTTAAGGATTAAAAAATTAATAAAGAATTTATTCAAGATGTTTATCAAGTTGATTAATCTGATCTTTAAGTTCAGACAGCTGTAATTGTAATGAATTCAATCTCGTGTTGATTTCATCTATAGATTTTTTTGCTGTTGTTTCTAATTCATTAACAGTTGCTTCTATGTTGTTATTTTCTGAATTCATAAAGAAATTATGTAAAAATATTTTTATTTTATGCGAAAATTTTAATTAAAAGGGCGATTCTCATCATAGTTATCACTGAATTGTTCTAGACTTGCAAATGTTGTCGGTCGTTTTAAATTAAGATTTATATAAGCATTATTACTCTTCTCTTTCATAGGTTTATTAGAATAGTATTTAGATAGCTTATTTAGAAAAATATTAAGTCTATTCTTTGATTCAGACAAAATACGCCTTACTGGACTCTTTGTGCTTTTATCTGTTGGACTAATATAATCTTGAAAATTTTTTAATTGATCACCTTTAAACATTACAGTTAAGGGCTAAAAGGTTATTAAATTTTGTTTGTTTATTTCTAAAAAGTTTCATTAAAAAAATATCATGGCATAAACAATGATGATAAAGGGATGTTATAATATTAAAAAATATACAGAAGAATTTATCTTAAAAGTGTCTTGGTGGATCAAACTACTAATAGCACCGGTAGTTGCACTAGTTATTGTAAGTAATTACCTTGAAATTGAGTGTTCAAAATTGGCCACGTCAATTAGTACTGACTTATTGCAGATCAAAAGTAAAATAATCCAATTTGGTATTTATTTGTTTGCTTTAGAAACCATGAAATACTTAACAAATATTTTTATCACTTTCTTTGTTTCTAGTTCTATTAAAAGAGCATATTTTGTTTTTATGAAAGAGTATTTAAGTATAAAATATGAAGATTTTACAAAATTATCTTCTGGGGACATCCAGTACGATATACAGCGAAGATCGATAGCAATAAGTGATTTTTTAACTGTTTTAACTATTAGTTTTATTTCTAATGCTATTTTCTTTATTGTTGTTTGTCAGAAATTGATAGTTAGTTTAAGTTTAGAGGCTGCCTTAAAATCAATTATACTCGTAACAATTTTTTTGATAGTAGTTGTTTATTCTCAAAGAATGAAATCAACTCTCAGAGTGAAAGTAAATCAGGGATTTATTAGAAATAGTAGAAAAGTATGTGATGTACTTTTGAATTATGAAAGAATTGTTGCATATGATAATATTGATATTGAGTGCAAGAAGTATGAAGATGTGTCTAAGAGTCAGGAGTATCATGCCAAACTATTCTGGTCATCTTATGAATTTATTTTTTTTATAAATAGAATCCTTTTTGCTTTACTTGCTGCCTTTATTATTTACGAATTTAAGAAAATGAATTTAACAACAAATGATCTTACAATATTTGAAATTATAGGAATTATAAATGCATTGGATCCTAAAATAAACGCATTATCATACAGTATTGATCAACTATGCTTACATTTTACTAATTTTAATCAAAGTACAATTGAAGGATATGAATCAGATGATGAGAAGTCAAAATTAAAAATTTATGGATTTGATCATTCTCTGGGTATGAAGAATCTTAGTTTGAAATTAAATAATCAAGAAATCCTTAAAAGAGTTAATCTTGAAATTATCAAAGGTCAGAAAGTTGCTATAGTTGGACCAAGTGGTGCAGGTAAATCAACTATTTTAAAGCTTGTTATGGGATTTTATGATAATTACACAGGTGATTGTAAAATTGACAGTCACCAATATTCATATATTAATAAGAGAAGATTAAGAGATGTGATATCTTACATCCCACAAAATCTCTATCTAAAGGGAACAGATTTGTACAGCAATCTCACAATGGGTGACACTACTAAGACACCTGAAAAAATCATTGAGATATGTAAAACATTTAACTATCATGATACGTTTAAAGAGATTGGTTATATGAAAAATGTTGGTGTTCAGGGAAAAAATTTAAGTGGTGGCCAAAAACAGAAAGTTAATTTTATGAGGGCTTTAATTAAAAATGGAATTATTTTTATATTTGATGAACCAACATCTAATATGGATAAGCTTTCTGAACAGAATGTTTTTAATCATCTTTTTAGCAAAATGTTTAATAACAAAACTTTAATAATGACAGTTACAAATTTAAGTTTATTAGAAAGATTTGATAAAATTTTATTTTTAGAAAACGGTGAATTGAAAGGTAAAGGTAAGTTAGGTGAACTTTTAGCTAATAATAATGGATTTGCAGACTTTTATGAAGAAGGAATTAAAAATTTTAAAAATTAATAAAAAAGATTAAAATAATATTTTTGCAAAGTTATTTTAAAAATTTAAAAGATTCTTAAAGAAATTATTTTGCTGAGTTATAATCTTTGTAAAGTTTTAAGAATCATACAAATGTAAATTATTATTAAATAATAATAAAAATTTAAATAAAATATTTTTATTATACTTTCTTAAAATATAATTTGTTTTTTATAAATTATTAAACATAAACAAAAGAATGATTGGTACAGAAAATAATGTGTTTTTTCAAAATGGTAAGAATTTAAGTAAACCACACAGTCTAATAGTAAGGGATGATACAAACACGGCTCTTAAAGGATTAACATACGAAAAGAAAATAAAAAAACTAAATTTTGGAGAACAAAAAGAGTATTTCGATTCAATAAGAGGAAATGATCCTAAAGAGATTTTAAGACCTGTTTTATTGTGTATGACGATAGTCTACTGGGCACTGTTTGCAACTCTATTTTATGGATATCATGAGAGCAAAATATTATTTTTTATAGAAAAAGGATACCTTAAAACAGACACTATTTACGAAATGACATCCCATTTATTAATTTCAACTGGTGTTTATGGTGTTATAGTTTACGGTATCATTTATTTGATTGTTAAATAAAATTTAAAAATATTTTACAGCATAAATAGTTATGAACAATCAGCAGTTGGTATTTCAGACAGAGAAAGTAGAAGATTGTAGAACAGGTAAAAGACAAGTAATTTCAAATATTGAGACGTGTGAGAAGATAGAAGAGTTCATGGGAACTACATTAGGACCATATGGACTTGACAAATTATTTTATGGAGAGAAAACAATAATTACAAATGATGGAGCAACTATTATGGATATGATTGAATTTGATCATCCAATTGGAAGAATATTGGCATCAATGAGTAAATCTCAAGATTCTAAGTGTGGAGATGGAACAACTAGTATCGTTTTGTTAGGATGTGAAATCTTAAGAAATATTAAGAAACTACTAGCTGATAACTTTGAGATTAAAGATATTGTTGAAGCTTTAAGAACACTAAAAGAACTTTGTGGGAATAAAATAGAAGAACTTGTAGTTGAGTATAATAAAGAAAACCTTGTTAAACTTGCAGAAACATGTATGAACTCCAAGAATGTTAGAAATAACAAGTCATTCTTTAGTAAAACACTGGTAAAGAATATTCATAAAAAAATGTCAGTGGATTCAAACATTAATTTTATCTATCAAATAGGAGGATCATTTGAAGATTCATTTATTTTCAATGGAATAGCATTTGAGAAAACATTCACTTACGCAGGATATGAACAACAACCTAAAATGATTGAGAATCCAAAAATTGCATTTATAAATATTGAATTAGAGTTAAGAAGTGAGAAAGGTGACACTAAATTTGAACTTACATCAGTTGATGAATACAAAAGATTTGTAGATGCCGAATACAAGATATTAACAGATAAATTAGATGTTTGTATTGAAAGTGGTGTAAATGTTGTATTGAGTTCACAGCCAATAGGAGATATTGCAACCCAGTATTTTGCTAAACATAATGTGTTTTGTGCAGGAAGGGTAGAAAATTTAGATCAAATAGCCACTGCTTTAGGTGGAAAAGTGACGAGTATTATTGAATTACTTTTCTTAGGTTCAGCAGATTTATTTGAAGAAAAACAATTAGGAAATAAGAGGTTTAATTTTTTTACTAAAAAGAAATCAGAGATAAAAACATTTATAGTACGAGCACCTACTACTGAAATTTTATCAGAAGTTGAAAGAAGTTTACATGATACTGAATTTGCTATTAGATCTGCAGTGGAATCTAAAAAGATTATAACAGGGGGTGGTTCAGTTGAAATGGAATTAAGTAAAGCTATAAGAGAATATTCAATTACAATAAATGATAATAGGAGGTTTATTTATGCGGCTATTGGACAGGCATTAGAGAAAATTCCAACACAACTAAGTGAGAATTTTGGACAGGATGCAATTGCTACTGTACAAAGATTGAGAATGTTTCATTCCGAAAATCCTTTTTATGGAGTGACAATAGGAGAGCCAGCAGATATGAAAGTACTTGGTGTGTTTGAACCATTGAATGTAAAGTTAAATGCCATTTTAGGAGCATTTGAAATAGCAGAATTAATAATTCAAATTGATGGAACATTAATTTCTAAATAAATGAATTTGTTAATAATAAAATAATTTTTATACTTAAAAAATCAGTTTAAGTATTTTTTAAATTATTTTTTTTAATAAAAATTTTTTTTATACTTTAAAAGTTAAATTTAAATCAATTGATTAAACTTTTATAAATAAAAATTTATTATTAAAAAATAAAAAACTAATTTCATTTATTAAGGACCATCTTAATTGAATTAATAATTTTTTCTGTATCTTTAACTGTATCAATTGGTTTTAAATCAACAATTGTAAATTTCTTTATCATTTCCCCATTAACATTCTCTTCTTTTGATTTAACTTTAAATATGAAATCTTTAAAAAGTTTTGATTTAAATAATCTAATCATCTCAGTTGGATCTTCTTCTGATAAATTAATCATTTCCTTAACTGGTAAACCAAATAACTTTTCACCCACATCATTAAATACAGTTGCCCATACTTGATCAGTAAAATCTGATATAATCATACTCATTAAATATCTGTAATTACAATGATCATAAACGAAGTTACACTTCTCACACCTATAATTACCATCATTTTCTTCATATACTTTCTTATTACAGTTTTCTCCCGGACAAGACTTGTAATAAAAAACATTATCTTCTTTCATAAAAATAACTGAACCATAAATAGTTGTGTATGTATTTAATGCTTCCTTAGAATCCTCTAAATATCCTCTTGGTCCAAAATTCTCAGTTTTTTGTTGTTGAACTAGATTTTTACCTTCCTTCTTATACCATGTTAACAATTCAACTGTTTCAGGTAAATCACTATTAACTAATATTCGTGAACTTAAGACTGTAGACATATCAACAAGTCCATTATACTCAGATATTTTACCATAACTTAGACACATGACACTACCCTTTTCATATTCATCTAATGACCTCTGTCCCCATAATGTAACTCTTATTTGACCAGTGTCATCTAGCAACATAATTGTTCTTTTATCAATTTCATTACCTGAAAACCTTGATGTAACTTTAGTCACTGGATAGACTTCACTTATAATACCAACAATATCCGCACACTGATTTATTCTTAATGATGCTTCATTAATCTTAATAAAATTAAACTTAAATTCTGGTATATCTGCATCCCCACTTAACTCTATTTCCGTATTTCTATCTAAAGCTATCTCATAATCAAAGTTTGTTACATTGTATTGTTTATTTGCCATTTTAATAGAACCTTTTGATATTTTATAAACTTTTTCATTTTCAATCATTGGATAAAATTGTTCAACTTCATTATTAAATGCTACAACTTTACAAGATGTTGAATTGTCTGTAATTTGAAATGAAAACAACTTTCCTTCTCCATTCTTAGAATTAAATTTTTTGATATCTGATTTTCCATTTACACGTCCCTTAATAGTCCAATTATTTAAAAATGGATTCAAATCTTTAATTTTCATTACATCATCACTAATCTTTTGTTTCTTAACTGGTTCATCATTTTTAACTTCTTCAATAGGTTTATTCTCATTGTTAATTGTTGGTTTTGTAGCTGGTACAATAGTAGGTTTTCCTATCAATTCATTTTTCTTAACTGTTTTTAAAATTGAACTAACAAGTAAATATTTGTTATTATCTCTCTGTCTTACAGTAAATTCACCAAGTGTTATTATTGAATATAATCCCATTGAATTGTTCTCAAACATGCCACTAACATCACTACCAAACACACATTTCATAAAGTATTTTCCATCAGAAACATTAACTTTGTATCGTAACTTACCATCAGTTGCTGGTAGCTTTGAATGCTGGATAATTTGTACCTTTGGTTCTTTGTATAAAGGATGATTAACTTGATTATGATATAATGCTGTTATAGTTCCGGGTAACAACTCACTACTACTCTCTGTCTTATTCATATTTTAATAAAGGGATCAAAAAATTAAAACAAAAATTCTCAATAAAAAATTTTTAATTAAATTAACACACCCTTTATAAATTTAATTAAAGTTAATAAATAATCTTTACCACACCAATGACTTTCTTCACTCTTTATAAATGTTTTACATCTCTCGTATGACTCAACATAATAATTATTTCTATCATTTGACTTAACAAATAAATAATTTAAGCAATTTCTATTTTCATATTCTTTAATAAAATCTTTATTAATAAAATCATTTGTAAGTGATTTATACTTTCCTCTTTCCATGATTAAAAAATCTAATATTTTTAAAAGATCTGTTGATTTTGTAAATAATGATTTGATGTTAAACTTTTCAGGTTCTGATGTAACTACCAAACTGTTCTTATTAAATTCAATGTTTTTATAATCTCTTGTAAATATTCTATAAGAAATACAATTAAAAGGATCTAAATTCTTATACAAACAACTATCAGCTAATATTGAATCCGAAAGAGTAATTAATTGGTATTCACCTGCTAAATGAAAAAGGGTTACATCAAAATTATCAGTAAATGAACAATAGTTGTTATTTTTAACAAATAAGTTATTGATGTCAATAATCAACTGTTTTTTATCATTTTGAGGTGGTATTTTTATCTTTATATTATCAAACATTAGATCAATTAATACGTTTATCACTTTCTTATAAAAAGATCTTATTGTTTTACGTGTTGATTCTGTGTAATTGATTGGTTCATTGTTTGAATGTTTTCTTTCTAATAAAAGTTCAAATGTAAATTCTTTCATTGAAAAATTAATTTTTTTTTCAATTTTTCATCAAAAATAAAAAAGATGGTAATACAAGGAACAATTTTCAGAACTAAAGACAATCTTGAGGAAATGAATGAGTGTGCAAATAATAATCCAGACTATAGAAAGATTTATATAAACAAGAGGGTAGTAGAAGGAAATATTAAGAAAACTTTCATTTCAATAAACAAAAACAAAGGAGAAGATCTTTATATTGTTAGTAAATTCAACTATGCAGATTTCAAAGAATATTTCACCAGTGAGTCTAATTTCAATAAAATTGTACACACTCCAAATAAAAAGAGAGTCGAGAAAGTTGATTTGAAAAAATTAAAACAGACAAACCTTTCAAGTTTGTTTAGTAGAAAATAATTTTTATTAAAATTCTTCAGCTACAATTTGTAAGTGTCTGTTAATTTCCTGATCTTCTAATTTGATCAAACCTTCCTTTGAAAATACAAAAGCATCAATTTCTGTAAATTCAGCAGTTCTTCCAATACTCATCAACAAGGCTCCCAACGCAAGATTAATAAGCTCTTCTTTTGATTTATTTTCAGAATAGTTATTTTCTAAGTAATTATTCATTTTAAGATAATCTTTACCGGATGCATTTGCAAAACATTGATATTCTACTGCACTTAAATCAGTAAAATAAACTACTGTTTTACCATCTTGCATACCAAAAATTGTAGATGCAAATGCAGGTATTCTATAAGAACTACGTTGTATGTATTTTTGCATTTTATCTCCAACAACCCTAGCAAAAATATCTGGTGTTAATTTACATCCTAGTTCATATTCCTTATCACTTGCTAATTTAACTATTCTACGAAATATAAAATTCATATCATCAAGTCTTCCAGTCATCTGCAAGTATAAATTATCACTAACTTTTTTAACTGTTGATATAACGTCTTCCTGTAAGGGCTCTTTGTTGTACTTTCTAGATACACAAACCACGTGTTCATCAGATGACACAGTAACAATGGGATTTGAGTTATTTACAGCTGATAATGCGCATTCAATCTGTTTAATCTCTCCATTGGCATCAAAGATATGATAGATCTCTTCGTTTACTTTTGACATTAATTAGTTAAGCTTGAGGGTTTAAAATTTAATTATTTATTAAATTTAGTTGAGATGAGAATCATAAAATTCTTTTGTTGTATTTACATGAACATTAAGTTCTTCGTTATTTTCTTTTGTTTTTAACACATCATAATATACATACACGTTCTTCATAAAAGCTGGGTTGAAGAAATCTTTACATAGTTGTAAGGCATTGGAGCTAGTATTTATACCCGCGAAAGATTTAAATCCATCTAGACATATTAAGTTAATTGACTTGTTAGCTTTAGCTACTTCAAGAGCTGTAAAATTATGTGTAATGTAATACACTATAGCATTTGTATTAAGTAAAAATCTTAAAACGTATTTTTCAAGTGCTAGTGGTACTCTTAACTCATCAACAAATATTAAGGTGTGTTTGTTAATAGAATCTTTAATACTTGTTAAATCATCTATTGTCTCTATAAAATAAATACTAGTTATTATTGGCAACTCAGAGTATTCAGTTGGCAGAGGGGCTCCTAAATAGCAGAATATAAAATTAAAAAACAACTGTCTTACGTAAGAGCTTTTACCAACAGCATTAGGACCTGAAATAATATTAAATCTTCTATTTTCTGATATTAAGTAATTATGTGGATGTGGTTCTTTAATAAAAACGTCATATGAATTTTTCATTAATAATTTGTTTGTTGTAATATTAGGAAAGTTATAGCATTTATATTTGTTAAATGATAATGCTATAGCTAAGCAAACATCAATCTCTGGTATGATCTCACCAAGCGTTGTTAGAAAATTAAATATTCCTGAAATTTCCAATACAACTTCATTGGTAATCATTGATGAAAGGTTAATTATGGTTTCATATGTTTCATTAATCTTAAAATTTAGAATTTTTAATTCCAAATTAGAATAAAGATAATATACTTTTGTTTCTTTTACTATTTTTAGATTTTCATACTGCATCTTGGCTGCAATCTCATTATTATTAACAGTTATTCTTTTATTTCTTCTTAAACAAATACCTAGTTTTTCATCTCTGTGAATATACATGTGCATATCAACAAACTTTTCAATTTTGAGGTAAATTCTTCTTAAATTCTCGTGATAAATTTTTCTAGCTACGTCTAAAGCTTTGCATACTCCTTTTCTGACAAAATCTACAATGTTGCTATTTAATAAAGGGTTAATTCTTGAATCATAACTGAAAGATACAATATTGTTTATTTTAATTCTAATATCCTCAGGTACATCAATTTCTTTAATTTTAAATTGTCTTAAGCAATAGTTAATGTTTTCAACATCTAAGAACAGTGAGAATAATTTCTTTATCATTGATACACTTTGTACTTTTTTTACTTGATTATAATTATCGTTGTTATTAAAGATATCAAACTGGTAGTTTTCATCATCTGAATCATTAAAAGTATTAAGTTGGACATAAATCCTTTGATATTCATTTATCATGCTATTAAAATCAGGTAAGTTTCCTAAGATTACACTCAACTTATCAGCTAACGAATTATTCTTTAAAAATTTGCCAATTATTTTTTGTTTCTGAAAAATTCTAAAGATAGATGTCTGGGGATAAATAATATAGTTAGATAACAGCTTTTTTCCCAACCCCGTTTTAAGCTTTCCAAATGCATGAAATGTAAATGGATTATCTTTTTTATTTTGTAATAATAATTTTAAATTTTCATTCATAATTATTGGTTTATCTTCATTAAAAGTTTTAATTATTGATTCAATTTTTTGAACATGCTGAAAAATTTTGTTTTTATCCAAATCACTTATGTCTTCTAATAAAAATACTGGTTGTTTTACATATTCCAAGAGGTGTTTATTAATTGCAATTAAATCAAACTGGAATGAATCAATCACAATTAAAATTTTTTCTAAGCACATTACATTATCATCACGTTTATTTCCATAAATTTTTCTGACACAAATCATTAATTTGCTTGTTAATATTCCAAATAAAATATTCTTCATAGTTTTTATGCGTTTTTAAAATAAATACCTGTTCATACTTTGTTTGTTAAAACATACAAATTTGAAGTAGTTTATTTTATTTTAAATTGTTTGTATAAATTGCCCCTAATGGAGGAACATAAAATAAATAAACAAATAGATGAACAATTACACATGTTAACAACACATGGATATTATGATGTGAAGCGATATATGATTAAAGCGGAAGCAGAAATAAGAGCCAAAATGATATGCGAAGAAAGATTCCAAAATATCGAAAACGATATAGAAGATGAGATGTCCATTGATGCCATTGAAGAATACAAAGGAAAACGTTTTAGATATACAAATGGTTATTCAAGATACTATGATGTTCAAACAGATGAAAAGCAAAATTTTGAGGAAGACATTTTTGAAATTGAAGGGGGCCGTGACGCAATTGATGAAATTCTTCAAGGTCTAGAAAGCGGTGATAAAATTGTTGTTAATACAAAAAGAAGAGCAGTTAAAGGTACATTGTTATCGATTGGTGATGACATGGTTACTATAAGAAATAGTGACCGAAGAAGAGTAGAGTATTCTTTCAGACAGATCGTTGAGAATGGAATTAAGTTCAAAAAAGACGAAGAATCTGAATAAATTTATCTTTAAATATTTTTTAACCCATAAATGTGTGCCACAGTAGCATTAGTATTAGTAGATAATGGAATAGAGTCTCAGAATCAAGATTATGGGGCTAGTAGAATAATCTTACAGAAAGGAATTGTGTCTGATATGATAAATTTATTGATAGCAGAAGAGTTAGATAACCAACTTGGAATAATTCCACTGTATCAAGAAGTAAAGAATGATATTGTAACACCTTTAGCTTATGATAAAATGGATTTGTTAAATTTTATTAACAAATTAGATCTTTCTGAGAACAACACCTTTGAATTAAGCTTCTATCAGTCAAGACAAACACTTCAAACCTCAAATCTTTCCGACAAGAAGGTGTTTATATTTCTTTCATCAACAATTGAATATCCATCTAAAGTTATATATGACATAGCGACGCTAATAGACACAGGTTCAGCTGTATATGTAGCATGTTTTGGTAGTGCAGTAGATTTTGGTAGTATTCTTAAATCAGAATTTAATGATGGTGATTGTCAAATACTGATTATTACACCTGAAGAAGATTTTGATTTATCTATAGAGAAGTTTTACTTAACACAATTCGATGATAATGAAGATGAAAACTATAAACTTGCATTACAACAATCTCTTATTGAAAAATAAAATATGTTTTTAATTATACTTTTTTATTTACTTTAATGATAAATTTTTTTGTTTAAATAAATATTTTATAACCATAAATGAAACAAATTTGATACATAAATAACACATGCAATTGTAAAAAGCATGGAAGATTCTAAAACTAAAAAAGGTGATAAAAATGTCAATAACTCTGTAAATGCTACCAAAGAAGATGTTAATAAAGAAAAAAACAAATCTGCTGCATTATTAGAAGATATAAAAGAAGAGTCAACAACTGAAGAAGAACCAATTTACCAGCCTTTTGAGGAAAAGAATGAGGAAGAAACAAAATTTTACTTTCTATCTTTGGATGTTTATATTCATAATATGTTTAAAGATAGTTCATTATGGATCAGATACTTTATAGAGTGCTTATTTGTTTGTTATCTACTTTTATTTCCATTGTATATTTTAGCTGGATTATCAGGAACAATCGATATTAATTATAAAACATTAATTGAAGATGCAACAACAAAATTTGATATCATATTTAAGTTTAATGTCTTCTTTTCCGCGGTATACACAATATTTTGTGTGTTTTATATTTTAGGTGAAAAGTCACTTAGTTATATTTCCAAAATAATAATTCACTATGAAAGTGATAATGATGAAATATTATGGTCAATAGCAACAACAATCTATAATGAAAGAATGTATATGAGAAGAGCTATGGGATTTGGATTTGCATTTTATCTAGCTAATGTTATGTATGGTAAGTATGAAAGAGTACCTTTTACATTTGATATCAATATGGAAATAAGTAAAACAATTATACTTTGGTTATTTATATGGAATGGATCACTTTTTATAACAAGATTAGTGTTAAATACACTTACAAGTGATATAAAATTGAATGCCTATAAAAGAAAAATTAAAGATTTAAACTACAAATCATTTATATTTAAAAAAATAACAAAAATTTCACATGCGAGTGATGAAATAAAAAGTGAAAGTAATTCTAATGTAGATGAAAATAATGACTATGAAATGGAATATGATCCAGGATTTTTTGTTAAATTTAAAAGTTTATTTACTTCAACTGAACAGACAAAAAAATTGATTAATAATTCCTTTGCTTTGTTGGGTAAAACTTATTTAAGTTATGAAGACGTTAAAGAATATTTTCCTGATAATCATGAGAATGTATATAAATATCTATCAAATTCATCAGATCCTAAAAAGAAGAAAAAAATCAAATTAAAATACATAAGGGAGATTGCATTATCATTGTATCAAAATAGAAAGAATATGAAAAGAACTTTAAAAGACAGAGATAAGATTTTTGATTTATTTATTGAAATATTCACTATAATTGTGTCTTATGCTAATTTAATATTGTTTCTTTTTTTATTTAAGATGGATTTCACATTCTTTACAACAACTCTTTTTTCATTTTTACTTTCATTTACTTGGATATTTGGTGATTCAATCAAACAAATTTATACTTGTTTTTTATTTTTATTAGTAATAAGACCTTATGATATTGGTGATTATTTAGTTATAGAAAATAAGTATTACACAGTGTTTACTATGAATTTATTTACATCGGCACTTTTATCAGATTCAGAGACACTTACATACATGTCACATATAACTTTATTTGATAAAGATATTAAAAACATATCAAGAAGTCAATCAATATCACTTATAATCAAAATAAGTATAAAAGAGGGTTCTACTACTTATAGTAAGGCTCTTAAGTTACAAGATAAGTTTACAAATGAACTTAAAAAGAAATCAAATACCTATACTGAATGTGTTCTTTATTCCCTTGAATCAAGTTCTGTTACTTACAAATTCTTTAGTAATGGCCCAGGAGATAGTAAGAAAGACTTTGAGAATAGAAGGAGGAAACTCATTAAAAATGTTGAATCAATCTCTAAATCAATTATTAGCACACAAAACAGTTATATCTTGTTAAATAATGAAATTTAATTAAATTTTTAATAAATATTTTTTGTAACCCATAATTCCAGATGAGAGGTAAGTGGAAAAAGAAGAGAATGAGAAAGAGAAAAGCTGATAGAAAGAGAATGAGAAAGAGACATAATTAACAATAAATTATCGAGTATCTTTGTATTAAATGTGTTTTATATTTATTTTTCTACCCCTTTCAATAGTTTATGGCTAGAAGAAGTTCTAAACCAATAAAAAATAGACTTTCATCAAAAGAAATAAATAGAGAAGAAAATAACAAGCAAATGATTGATGTTGAATTGAGATGTAAATCATTGAAGATTGAGTTATTAAAGCAATATATAGTTAATTATCAACAAATTGAAGATCAAGATGTTAAAGAAATAGAAGAAAAACTTAATGAGATAACAGTTATTTATCAAAATCTTTGTGAAATAGATAAAGAGTTTGATTTTGTAAGAGCAGTTTCTAATGAAATGATGAAAAATAAGAAATTCAGTTCTAAAAACTCAAAATTTGAAAATCCCAGACAAAAGTTCAAAAGACGATCTAATCAACAAGAATTAGATGCATTTGTATCACCCGATTATTCAATTGGTAATAAAAAAACCTCAAGAAAATTTAAATAAAATTGATAAATTTTTGTAAAAATTTTAATGAGTGTTGTTGAAGTGTTAGATTCCCATGAAGCCTATGTTTACGGAAATATAGGCTATGAATTATCAAAATTAGAATATGAAAAGGTAAGTATTGAAGTTGTACAGGGAGTTAAAGTGTACAAATTGAAGATAAAAAATATAGAATTAAAGAAAGAAGAAGATTTTAATATTTTAAAGGCTTTAGATAAAAATATCAAATGTAAACATTCTGAACCTATTAAGTATTTAGAGCTCAATAAATGTCCTCATGAAGGATGGGAAGATTTGATTGATTACTGGTCATGTCATCAAGGAGAATTTGAAAAACTTAAAAATCTTAAAATGATAGATAGACCCAATAGAATATTTGTAGCAGATTTTTACATCCAAACAAAGAAAAAGTATTTTCCTAAGTGTTGTAACAAAAGTGATAAGTTATTTTTTAATGAGTTTACCCATTCTATTCCAGATTCTTTACTAATTTATACATTCTTTACTGAATATTTTAAACAGTTAGATTGTATTTATATTCTTTATAAGGGTAAGTGTTTTAAGATAAAAAGTTTTTATCGGTGCCATCTTTTTAAAGAAGGGAATTTTGTTGAAGCAATTAAAGTTGGTGTTATTGAAGAAGAAATGAATAGTAAATTTATAAGAGGTTTAAATGATTATTACACTGAGAAAATATTCAAAATGATAAGAGAAAATATCACTGGAATTAAGCTTTTATATTATAAACTGTCGTTTATCACTAAATAAACCTAGTTAAAACTTTAAATAATATATACGTTCTTTTACTCTCAATATCTTTTTATAAGTTTAAATTTATACTTTTAATCAATTTGTATCTTTTAACAAACAAATTTTATAATATTTTTATGTTGATTACTTAAAATTTTAAATTAAATTTTATTTGTAAATCTTTTAAAGTATTCATTAAATTCATCCGAGTTAAGATATTTGCTCATTGATTTATAAGTCTGAAGAATTAAATCAATTTCACCATGTTTTTCTAAATAATTAAATATAACCATAAATTCAGCGATATAATTGGATTTGCCAGATTTCAGTATTTTAACTATAAAACTAAGACTTCTATTAAGAAAATCTTTAAAGATTGGATAAAACTCAAAATACTTAACATAATAGTTCATGGTTACACAATTAGTGGTAAATAGTTTAGAAAGAGAATGCACTGAATATCCTGTGATCTTCCCAAAACACGAAGTATGGTATTTCGTAAGTTTTACAATCAAATCTTCATACTTCTTAAAAGGAAACAATAAAAAAAGCAACTCTTCAGTATTAAAAGAATCAATCGAATAAACACGTACCAAATACTCAAGTAGATATTCAATCCCTTCATAATTCATGTTTTTAATAAGGCTAAGTAGATATTTTCTAAACTTAGAGTTAAATCGAGATTCTTCAGCTAATGAAAGCCTGTGTCTATCGAAATAAATGCTTTTTGGTCTGGTATATTGACTTTCAAATGGTAAAAATTGGTATAAAGTCTCGATAGTTACATCATCACTTTCTATAAATGTTATTCTTGACTTTTTATGAACTAAGTGTGTCTGTCTTGATAATTTTATTAATCTGAGTTGTTCTCCTAGCATGAATTATGGGCAAAAATTTTTACCATTTGATTTCCAAACTCTTAATTTTCTTTAAGAAAATATTTGTCTTTATAAAATGTCGTTGTGTAATAAACTTTTTAGCTGTATAGTGACCAGGATGTGTACCAATGAGTACCAAGTTGTTTTTATTATCTATAAACTTTGAATGTTTGGCAGCTTCTGATCCCCAGAGCATATAGACAATATTTGGTGATTGTTTAAGTTTAAACAAAATAGAACTAATAAAACTATTCCAGTTTAAGT